AGTGAGAACTAAAAAACAACTCGTGATTACGAAATCGAATGAAAATCTATCGACCAAAAAGTAACAGAAAAAGTAATCGATTACATTCAATTACGGAATGAATGAAGGAAAGTTTTGAAATATCATGGTATCACGTAACAGCGCAAAAAATGTAATAAAAGACTGTGTTTTAAGAATATATAAAATCAAATGGTTTTTTAGGGCTGCAGAGTAGACGGACCTGGTGGTAATCTGTCTGCTGTAAGCAATGGCCACCACTCATGGTCACAAGCAGCGCCAAAGGAGTTACAGTACGGCCGACGTATCTTGGCGAGTCTGAAGTAGCCGTTTGTCTGCACAGTGGATCTTTTAGGAACAAAATTGTGTACTGCGCACTAATCGGCTAACTTCAGACTCGCCAAGATATGTTGGCGGTATTGTACGAGTGTTTTAATAGTAACTATCGGCCGGCATTATGAGTCCCGCTGTGACTTGAAACTAGTAGAGCTTTTCTTTTCAGTTACAGTTTTTCAGTTACAAGTTCTCTTTTTGTTGCACCTACCATACTCTCTCTACATCACCCTAAGGTTGACTGGTGAGAATGCCTACGGCATTAAGTCCGCCTATGTAATGTTTTGTTGCATAAAGTTTAAATAAATAAATAAGTGCGTTGAAAGACGAGGACAGAATTGGGCTTCTACAAACCACTGAACGGTTATTTCATTAAAAATCTATGTCAAATAAACCAAAGTTCGAAAGCAAGTTCATAAAAAAGCAAAACGTGCTAAACATTTTTTCATATTTTATCTATATAATGTATAAAAATGAATGGCAAAATGTGTTGGTAAGCGCAAAACTCAACAACGCCTGGACCAATTCTGCAAATTATATTTTTGTTGTATTTAGTACGGTTAGGAGCAGGTTCAAATTTCAGGGAAAAATGGACATGTAGAGGGGGAAATTGGAAAAAGTAGCCCTTTCGTTGTTAGCAAAATAGTTACACCCGTTTTGTATAAAAACAAAGTAAAATACAGCAACTTTCAGACAAGAACGCTACATTTTTTTTTGTAGAAAAATTGTTACCCTTCACAGAATAAATCTTTTTAAATCTCATTCACTAGACTAGATTGTATCATAGGTACACGTCGTTAACCACCGGGAGTGCAAACGTGAGAAGATATCAAGGGAATGCGGTGCAGTAAGTTATTAAAACTACTAAGTACTATAACTGTTAGAGCTATATATTAAAGAATGCAATGCACTTAGCACTTGCACCCTGCTCTATATGTATAGACGATATGATAGTTTTTTTTAGTTACTTAACGTATTATCTGGAATACTTACCTACCTACATATTTAAAAGTATGAAAGGGACATGTACGAATAGACTTAGGCCTGATTTTTTAATAGTCAGATAAATGTTATATTTATACTAATATTATAAAGAGGTAAAATTTGTAAGTTTGTATGTAGGGGGTAATCTTTGGAACCGCTGGTCGGATTGCCAAAATTCTTTCACTGACTGACGGAACATTGTAGCTATTTGCTACAATGTTCCTGAGTGCTATAGGCTATAAAACATCACGCTGCGATCAAATGGAGCCGAGCAGCGGGTGAAACCGCGCGAGAGTAGCTAGTGAGGAATAAAATTGTTGCTGTCACTGTCTCATACAAACATTCTGGAAAAATCAGCCCTTAAGAAAGCGCATCATGCATATGGTACTTGAAGCGCCTAATAGTCTTTTTTTATATGTGATTGGACGTCAAACGGGCTGAAGAATAACATGATGGTGAGCAATCAGAGACAGTTTGAACACCAGACCATTTACTGAGTGTTTTGCTGCCCTTTTGGGGTGAGGTATTTTAGGGATGGCGATTTTAGGATTGGGGATGTGGTAAGACAGCGAATTGGATTTTTTTTCATAGATTAAAACAAAAAACAGTATGCAAGTGTATTTATTACTTTACTCCACCAATCTCTAGTGTTGATTTATGAGTCCTTTTGGGGCTTGAAATTAATCGAGTACCCTTACCCGAGTCTCGTCAACCTTCATAATTTAATTTAGACTTTATTAAACAGTACACAGAGTACCTATTAGATGTCTGTCTATTCCCGCATTATGTATGTAGGTACTCGTAAATCGATTTTTAAAAGATGACTCGATGATATGACCTCTATATGATAAGGTAGCGACAGCTGTGCAGACAGACGATGCAATTATGTATTTTATGTAAACACAGCTATGTTCTATTTTACCTTACTATAGTTATGTGAAGTACAAATATTTTTACGACATCACTACATAGTATAAAACAAATTCGCTTTCTCTATCCTTATACATATCCCTATGTATGCCTAAATCTATAAAACTACGCAACGGACTTTGATGCGGTTTTTGATTGAGGAAATTACCTTTATCTTTGATAACATCCATTAAATAGTGGAAAAATTTAATACTAACCATTGATGCTACTATGACCATGAAACCGGGGCGGATCGCTGATACAGTATTATTATACTGTCACTAAAACAGTATTATTACTTTAATTTTTTTTTTACAAAAGCTTATGAGTTTAGGTGGATGTTTCTGACTCTTTCATGTAAAAGCTATTGAACGGGTCTGAATGAAAGTCATAGCGATAGAACGATCTCATATATGATAGATTCTGATGGGATACACATTGACTACCTACTTTTTTACCCTGATTCTGGGTATGAAGCCACTAGACTACTTATCTGGACTGTTTAAGTACTTCTAAAGCTTAGATTTATCATTTACCAAATGATTGTTTTTTTGCCAATGATATAGAAAAATCCCTTTTTACTAACTTGCACCCGGCTTCCGAAAGGCCGATCAATGTTAAAATCAATTTAATCTCTTGTCAAGTCATATGATTGGTTGACTGAATTATCAACAACCAATTAGATGACTTGACAGGAGATTTAACAGGAGATTAGTTAATTTTAGCATTGACAAGCCTTTCAGAAACTGGGTGTATGTCTTTTTTTCAGACAATCCGTAAACATACGACGTGTTATGAGACTTCTAAAGGAGCCAACATGTTTGTTTCCACATTATGATTTTTTTCTCGTATCGTGGTTTCCTTTACAAACATACAATATTTTAACATACACATCAGTTCTACGCCAGTCAGGCTCTAGGCCAGAAGATGTACTTATCAACTTTTTCTTTTCCTCATGTCTACCATAAAGTAGCTCGAACAGAAGTATAATATAATCTTTAGTTAAATTTCGAATTGCAAGTATAATATAATCTTTAAATCTAAGCAGTTATAACAGAATTTCATTCAACGTTTTTAGACCCACATTACTCCTTAACAAGTGATGTCTGTTCCAAGCATTACAAATAAGTCCTATATGCATGGCAGAAGCCACACAGGCTAATAATATTTGTCAGTAATAATACTTTAATGACGTCATTGAGTACTTGAGATCGCGTACAGAGACAGCTCATCAAAATACACTTAACGTCAATAAAATTCAAACTTTAAATACCATACAATAAAGTTCTAAATCTATTAAAGAATTTTAAGAGTTTAAGACTGTACTTGGAGTAGAATAAAATAAAACATTTTGTATTCTGTAGTTCCAGTCGTTGGATGTAATAATAATCGTCACCGTCGAGGTCAAGGTTCGCATCCCGACTAGCGCAAGCGTTCGGCGAACTCTTAGATATGCCACAGATTAAAATAATGAGGAAAAGGGTCAAATTTTAATTAATTATTTATCAACGCGTTTAGACTGACCGAGTGGAATATTGTTAGAGAGCTCTATGTTCCGCTAAAGAAGGTAACAGGCTGATGATGATGATAAAAATCATCTTGATGAAATAAAAGAAAGAAAAAAAAAATGTTATGAAAACTGCAACCGACAGAATACAGATAAGATATTGTTTACCACAGACAAAATACTATTTCGAGATTCCTAAATAAAACCTTAGGTACTTACAATATCTCAAGCATCGTTCAAGTTGGTACTCTAAATAAACAAAATAAAATTTTGTTTGACGTATTTAACTTAGTTGTGGACTTACAACACTTCATACTATTAACTTAACGCGTCTCCAATGACATCATCGCAATTCACAGTCCAAGGACGAAGGATATCAAAACTAAAATGGGACTCTTTCAATGTATTATAATAATATGACATAATTCTCCGATATAGACAAATTGATAATTAACATTATTATTTCCTGTACGTAGGTATACAATATTCAATAATATTTATTTTAAGTTTATAATTCATATTTTCGTTATTATTGAAAACAGGATAATTATAATTATAAATATTATATTTACACCAACCAAAATAAAATAGGCTGAACGAATGTATTATCTTGCGCCCTCTGCAGATCATACAAATTTAGTCTGTGGAACTATTTAAAAAAAAGCGTCCGTTGTTGATTCATGAGCGCTGGCCGTTATTGGAGTGTTTATTTTTATGAGGCCGTCACAAGTTAACGATTTTTTAAAAGAATAACCTTAATATGGTAATGTAGGTATAACTCATGATATAATATAGGTATGTGACACAGGAAACTACCATTTATCTTTATCCATCTAGATTTGATATTAGGTTAATATTATAATTGCAAAAGTTTGCAAAAAAATGACTAAAGAGAGTCTAGAAGAAGATTGCAGTCAAGAATACACAAGGATACTTACCTACTTTTTATCGGAAATTGAACAAAAGTTGGTTAGTATTTTTCCAAATTCTTAAATTATTTATCGAGACATAGTTTTTACTTGTAAAATTTTCGTGATTGATATTTATTTATCTATTAGTCATTTATTGTCAAGTAGATATTATATCAGTTTATCAATAAATAGGTAACAATATGATTAACAATTTTATTCGGTCATTTAATTTTGGCGAAGTTGACATATTTGGTTACCGGTAAGTATAAAAACATTAGAGAAACCGATATTAAGCAAACGCTAGGAAACATCAGAAATTGTTTTTACTTAGATATACATATATTAAAATATGTACTTACTTGCATCTGCAAGAGTCTGGAACCACCGCTCTTCTCCATTTTAATATTTCGGCGGCGCACTATATAATAACTATCAATTAAAATTGGAAGACAACGAAAATTTTATCAGTTCAATGTGTCAACAAATTGAATTCAAGTAAAAAATTATAAAAAATATACTACACGCGATTTTTGTTCATCATATCAAACACCATTCACAAAATTTGACACAAAAATGACAATAATATTTATTTTCTAGACGTCAACGATTATTTTACCGCGCAATTTAATTTTAGAATACGTTTATGATTCAACTTATTTTTTTTATTTACCGGCGCGTTTTCAATTGCAAGGATTTTTTATAACGCAAACGTAATACCGATCAAACGAGTCAGCGGTCGCCAAGCGACTCAGCTGTTGTGAAGCACCGAGGCAAATTAGTGAGAGATCGCGGGGACGGGGAGCGAACAGCCTGCATGACTACTCGCTGAGTAATCGACTGGCTGCACCTACACGCCCTGTGAACCAACAACATTACGTTTGCCGCTATAATAACTTATTTAAACTTTTTTCATAGCACTATAAAGAATAATTTCCTTCGACACCGTTTATACTTAGTCTGTAAACAGTTTGTATTTGGCCGCCAATAGACAAATTATTGTGAACGTTTAAAGTAGAGGAAAATGGATCTTATTGCCTGCAGGTAAAAGTTTTGCCGGTTGTATTGTAATTGCTAAGTTAAATGGCATAAACATTGAAGAAATTCGCGAGCCCGCAGCCAAAATCAGTGAAAGCGTTATCATAAGTTACGGGGGCGTTGACCTGGTAGTGTCGAAGCACCTAATTATGGGGGATAGGAAAACACAAAATGTCAGCTCCATTGCATCGTCATGCACTTTATGCAAGCAAACTGGTTAATGAAATCGACCATCTGTCGCATAAATTATAGATTTAACGACGTGATATGCTTATTATACATATAGGTACTATGCTATTATAATTATTTTAAGTATTAAGAATTCGTCATTTCTATTTTTTTAACTTCTGTTTAATATCCATTTCGTTTATTATTATTTTTTAACATTTTTCTATAAAATGTTCTAAAGTTATTTATATCGAATACTAGCTTCTGCCTGCAACTTCTCCCGCTTGGTATATTGACACCCATGGTATTGCCTATCTACATATCAAATGTCAACCAAATCAGTCCAGCCGTTTTGGCGTGAAAGAATAACACACACATCCACACATTCTCGCAAACTTTCACATTTATAATATTAGAAGAATAGTAAGAAGAATCTATCTTTTTTATTTTTTGGATATTAAATAAGTTGTTTCTTTGGATAATCACGGTAATTACTAATAAAAAACATTCACATTAATGTGATATAATAACGAAAAATTACTTTTGCTTGAAAGTGTTAAGATTTTAAATTCGCAATTGCAGACTAAACTGTACTGCAGGCTTGCTTCAAGCTAATCCTGTAAATAAAGATTGCCGGATACGAAGATATGATCTCTTTACTCGTCTCAGTTCGTCCATTACGAAGAACCAGATGGTTTTTATGTTTTTTTCTTCATTTTTATGTATGCCTGCTTTTACTTTGGCCTTTTTTGGCACAAGAAATGCAAATGAACTACATTTTATAAATTGATTTGCATGTGACTTAAAAACAGCTTTTAAAATACCTATTTTATTTATGGGAAAAGTAATGGTTCTGATAAGAAACTTATACTTTCTTAAGAGATGTCATGTTTGGTGCAAACTACGTATAAATGACCAAGCCATTAGGTAATCATTTATCAAAATCGTTGAGCTGATAATATTGCTTTTATTTCACTGTGGAGGTCGATGCTCTCTCTTTTTCACAACGACATATTATATTGAATATTGAAGTTTATTGATCCTTTAAAATCCTTATTTAAGTAATTTTTTATGGTATAGTCGTCAAACGAGCAGACGGATTACCTGATGGTAAGTAATCGGTGCCGCTCATGGACACCCGCAATCCCAAAGGAGTTACGAGTGCGTTGCAGGCCTTTTGGAGATAACTGTTGTGGATATTTAAGGATTGGGAAAGGATAGGGGAGAGGGAGAGATTGGGCCTCCAGTAACCTCACTCACACGGTGAAACACAACGCTATGGTTGTTTCACGCCGGTTTTCTTGAAAGCATGGCTCTTCCACGCCTAACCACCGCAGTTATATGTCACTTTAGTTATTAAGCTGTAGATGTTCTTGACTTACGTATGACTTTTGATTTCGGTGTTGTTGTAAGACGTTAGACTTACTTGAATACATGACTGTTTTATTGTGTTAGAGTATATTAATTACTTTAATTAAGTCAGGATACAAAATTTTAATATGAAATAATTAGATAACATGCATTTTTACATGTATTCAAAGCCAAGAACATTATCAGGGTTTCGCAAGGATGCATCTTGTCACCAATGTTATTAAGGTTAAGAAATAAAACACACTAATAACCTTACGGTATTTTATTAAAAAAATTACATACAAACATTCATAATCTGTGATTGAATGTCACTATCATACAATACAATTCATACAACACACGACGTCGATCTAACTACGCACGCGCTATAGTTATTTGTCCATTTCGTAGCGATACGCCTCTATCCTCTACTGTGTTAAGATTTTTGGGAACATCATTGGTATCATCTGAAGATCTAATTTCTGCTTATTTTCCCCATACAGGTGACATTTTTTTGTTAAATTATACTCAACCTCTGTCTTTTTTTAGCATCATCAGCGATCATTATTATCAGTATGTTTAAAAATAGTTTACCTTCATCCTTAAGTTGATTAGAATAAGGCTTAAAATTTTGCGACAGTTGTTGTTGCGTCGAGATTATTGCTTGCAAAGCCTTTTCTCTGCTAATCAGATATCGCAGAAAAACAGTAAGCGTTTACATAGAACCACCATTAGTCTGATTTATTTTTTTTGCAGATGTCTTTAAGGAAGTTTACATTTCTGTAAACACTTGAAGAATAATACCAATGATGTTGTAAACAATATTGTTCATAAATTGTCCGCACGAATATCAGCAGTGAAACAAAAGGAAATCCCGTGAAAAATACGAGGAAAATTGACTTTCTTTGCTACCATTTTTCTTTGGAGATATTTTTTATAGGTTTTTTATGGTGTAAAGCATCCTACGTTACAATCATGAATCATTCCCATAATTGAAGAACACATGTCAAATCATTAACAATTATCGTTTTCCTACCCATCCATTCTAAGCTCCCTAAAATCTTCGTATATCTTTACAGTTCTTTAAAATTGACTTGCAATCACATACATAATATCTCCCATAAATCACTTTAGAATTTCTCATAATTATCACGGGTATAATCTTTATGACAGACGACAAAACTCATTCGGAAATTATCTAGAGAATCTTATTTGTGCAGACAATTTTTACAAAATAAAAAGAACACGTTGAACAAGCGCGTCAAAATTAATATAGGTACTTTAATAATAAAACTACGCTAAACACGAATAAATCGAACACATTGAGAGGGTTTTCACTTTGAAACCAAACATACAAGCTTCTCATACAAAAATATCTCATATTACCTAGACGTTTGAATCAACATCTTATTGCTGTCTAATAACCATTAATTTTACAAATAATTGTGTATATTTAAGAAATTAATTGTGAGGTGGTTTTGGTGAATACATTTTTGAGTGTAAAAACATTTTTTTTGCGTTCGAAAAGGTTAAAAGGTTTATGTGACTGTCAAAGACCCCTCAATTATTAATATTAGGTCAGGCTCAAAAACCTAAAGTGTACAAAACGCTTTACGTGGCAGTAAAGCGTTGGAGTCACTGTTTAAAATAGCTGGGTCTTTGATAGGAGTACAGGATTATGTTGGATAATTACACCTTTATGGTAAACAACAAACTCTTTTTAGGACAAACAAAATCAAATGCGATTGCATTCAAATCTCCCTCCATATTGGCACAATAAACAAGAAAGGGCACGACACTTAAAAAACTTTCTCCACTAAAAAATATTCTAACATCAAAACAAATGTAAATTGCGGTAAATATTTTAATTTATCTTATAAACGTCTAATAATTATTATTCTAATTTATATTCGTATAATACAATAATTTGGCTACGACATCTATAGCTACATTGCAAGACCATAAATTATTTTAAAAGATTTCCCGCCATCTTGTAGCCTAAGCTGTCAAGCTGTCAAAAGTTTGTTTGAATGGTCACAGATTAATACCAGCGTTAACACAGATAGGGCAAATAATAAATTAAACGCATGTCCGTGTATTTTACCTATCGTCGAATAGGTATCTAGTTTTCTTTTGCTTTGATGTGCTATGATCTGAGCTGACGATGAAAACTTTAAAAATATTTGATTTTTTAAAATGATTTTCAACAGTTGTAACCGTTTAGCGTATATATTATTATATTTTATTCGCGGTTGCATCAATTTTATAGATTAAGGAGAATCTTGCAATGTAGCGTTCGCGGGGCGAGGGACATTAAATCGCGTTTACCATGCCTAGGGTTACACACAACACAGGTATTAGGTAAATAACGTTAGGCAGTCTTTGGGTAGGTCGGAAGATTTTATAGCGACTAGATATTTCTTTAAATAATTGTACTAAATACCACACACCTAACTATACCGACAATATACCAAAAACGTTGATTTCGAATAAAAGGATTCTTTAAAAAATGATGGTAATATTTAAAAGACCTCCACGTTATATTTCGTTCAGTTAGGGTATGTTTCTACCGACCACATTTACTAATACTAACATCGACTTACTTCTAAAGTATTTTATTTACGAATCCAATGAGTATATACTTTCTCAATTCGTAATTGGTGTTATCAGGGGACAAGCATCGAATATATTTATCCTATGTGTTAAATAATTTATCATTCTCAAGTAACTCTCATTTTGTGCGACATTCTGTATTCAGTGAACATGAAAAAGTTTTCAATAAAGCAGAATAAACGTGTACCCTGATCTGTGTAATCACATAAAACCTTCGAAAACTTGTGTCGTTCATTTACCAAAATTTAAAAAGGTTTTATCTCGAAATTTGAATTATTCTTTTAACATTATTAATAGTATGTCAAAATGCATTTTATGTATAAGAAAACGTGGGTATGAGAAAACAATCAACGTTACAGTTTATCAAAGATCAAGATAAGACAGTATCAAATGTTTCATAAATAATATTTTACCTAAATAAATATCGCTCTGAGAGGTCGAGACGGTGCTAAACCTACATTGAACATCCTAGGCTTTATCAATAGGCCAAACTTCAAGAATTCGAAAATCTATAGAATTTCATGGCTACACACATCATTTTCTATGATAACATGCAGTATCTCTATAGAGCACATCTATTTAATGCGAAGTTAGGAAATTGGATGCTTAATCAATATTGTGGTATCGACTCACGACATCAAACAATATCTTGTTTTCTG